TGTTCTAAACTTGGCTAGCTAACAACTAGAGAAGATAGCTAGCAACTAAATAAAATCGTATTTGAGCTAAGACATTGTGTGGTTACATTTATAATTTACAAGTTGCTCTTTAGGCTATAGTCAACTGTGAAATACCAAAACAGTTAAAGCTCACAAAAACAGGCTCAGATTCATCCAGTGAGACTGCCACAAGTAGTAAATGTTTGGGAGGATTAAAAATATAATATTATTTAAATAATATTTATCCATAGTTTCCAGTGGATTTCACCTCTCTCTTTGTGTCTGTGTTGTAATAGATTCTTACAGAAAAGTTGTTTGTTTTTTTTTTTTTTTTCACATTTATTCTTCAATGCAATACATTGCTTCCCTATTCTTGTGTTGCAAGTTCATACTTTTTGTTCCCAGTTTACGTCTCTATTTTTCTCCAGCATCCTTTTTCTTTCCTACATGATTTTTTTTTTTGTTGTTATTTCCCCATCACTCTTTTATTGTGTATATGATGTTAGCATGTTGCTCAGGTTCTCCTCGTGACTTCTTTGGAATGATCATGGCACGATCTTCCTCCTCTGTTCTGATCTGAATATAGCGTTGTCTCTGCATTACTTGTTCCACAATATCCACACTTGCTCACAGGTAAATAGCTAATGAACTTCACATCCGTTTGATAGATGAAAGGACTTAGTTGCCAGTTTTTTAAAAATTACACTGCTTTCCCGCTATCTTTCACACACCAAGTCTACTTAAAAAGGGAAAGACAGGGGGTTGTGATCATATTTTTGTTGTACTATTCCATTTCCAAGCACAATTCTGGCCAGAAGTGCTAGATGATCCCGAATTATAAATATGTGATAGTAAATAATATGCAACTAATACACACAGTCAGATGCCCTCTTTCACAATGGATATTACTGCTAGAAGGCCACTTATTTTATGTCCATGGAAAAACACAGCTACAAAGAATCTGAAATGCCAATCAGTTAATGTCCCTACTTAGACACTATGTAGTACAGCTGGATAATTCCTGTCTAGTATGTCTTTAATCTGTTTTAAAGTTTTCAGTAAAAATCTGGCTTGGGAGGGATGAACCAAAGACCAATTGTCCTTCAGTTTCACAGCCTGCTTTACTACCAGGTTTTATGATTCATAAACCTTTTCTCCTGAAAATTAAATCCTTTACTAGTTGTGAATATTAACTGATTGTTATGCTGCTTACAAACACGTTATAATTTGGGGAAATATTATGATGTCTTTTTCTGGATTGTTTTTTGGGTGTTGGTTCGTTTGTTTTTTTTTTTTTTTGTTTATTTGGTTGTTTGTTTTTAAACCAGGTAAATGCACTTTTAAAAAACTTTTTTCATAGTTCATGTTCGTTAAAGCTTATGTTCTTAATTTTGTCTCCTGGAGTGTCTCGGTTTTACTTACAGCATATTTTAGGAATGGCGTCCAAAACTGAACATTTTATCCTACCCATAAAAGCTTAATAAAGCTCTTACAAAGCTTTAGGAACCGGTAAGCATTTAAGAATGTTTACCTCCCATATGTAATATGTACCTCATCAAAATGATGTTTGCCTTTTTGTAATGGAATCTCCTTTATCATAAACTGAAGATGATAGATTTTCATCTCCATATCCTTCTCCAGAGTGCTACTGCCCAGCTAATCGTTCTGCATTTAGGCATTCGAATTTCTTTTCTGAATGCAATGCTATGTTCATGTCTTCCTTCAGATTTACTAATTCCATGTGTTTTCTCCAGTTTATCAAAATAATTTTGAATTGTCATTCTTCCTTGGAAACTCCTTACACCCCTTTCCATTCTGGTATCATCTGTTAATAGTTATATTTAATTTTCAATCACTAATGGAATTATTCAGTGGCATAATGGTCTTAACAGCTTTTTTAAAGCGTCTGCTTTCTATACACTCCAAGACTGACTGTCAACTATACTTTGAATATAGAGTTTGGGGTTTTTTACTCAGTTAAGCATCCACGTTCCAGAAATTAGATTTTTATTATATTTAAGTAGATTGCTTAGAAGAATGTTAAGGTGGATGGTGGCAAATAACCTGCTAATATCACCATCTATCATACTTTCCCCTTACTCAGAAGATAGTTACATTGTCAAAGAAATAAACTAGATTAGCTTATACTGTATTTTCTTGACATAGCTCTATTGGCCGTTTTTCTATCACCTTATTGACCTTCGGTTATTTACAAATTGATGAGTCACTTTTTTCAGTATCTTCCAGGCATAAGGTTCTTATAAAGCTACAGTGATGCTCACAGAGCTGACGGTGCCCACCGAGCGCACTCAGATGTATCTCCACAGCACACAGCTTTGTGCTCAACCATAGCCTCAACGTCAGCTGTGAGTGGCAACTTTTTCTATTCTGATGTTCTGAATGCTCTTTTGAAGATGTTACCTATTATTACTGACTTTGATCTCCTTATGCTAATAGTTCTGATCTTCTCAGCTTTTTGAGTACTCCTTTAGATTATCCTCCGAAGGGTGGAATGTTGTACAATGAAATCTGGATAACAGAAAACTGCTTTTAGCTGCTGTCAGTGTTTTCTGAAACGGCTGTAACAAAACATTTGCTCTTCCACTGATGACTGTTTCTAAATGCTTTTCTTTTACCATATCTTGTTATAATTCTTCCGCAGCTTCTTCCTCCATGGCAATATTTTCCCTCATAAATTTGGAAGTGGCTTGGAATTAATTCTGCAGGCAACTGAGGCAGCCACAGGGCACTCTGCGGGGCAAGGTTCATACTTCAGCAACGATACTATACTGTGTCTGACAGAAGGCCTCATCCTCAGACAATTTCAGACATTGGGAGCTCTCCCATTGAAGAGTTTAGATCACAAAGGGAGAGTTTCAATGTGCTGGCAGGCAAGACTCTCAGGAAAATCAATCTGAATGAATGAAAGGTATGCTTCAAAGGTGGGCATGTTAAAAATCAATGAACCCCCCAAATAGGCATAAAAATTGATCTTGCTTGTACTTAGTATACTTCTCTTTGAAAATAAAGTACATTAAATGAAGACCAGTTTAGGTTTCGATTCAGCTCTGCATAGAGTAGTTTAGCAACATTTAACACTTTAAGAATTGATTCAGATTTTCTGAGAATTACTGTAGTAAAAAGATTTATTATTTCTTCTCTTTGTGTCTTCAACACTAGGCACATCCCTGGTACTTTAAACAAAGAATGAAGAATACTCAATGGTTAACATTTGTATTTTCTGAGTTTTGTCTGCCTGGATTTATACGATAAAGGATTTTAGTAGTAGCATGAAAGCAACATGTTAGATTAAGTTTTGGGGTTTCTTATTTTTTTTTATTTATTTATTTTCTGTTGCTCACTGGAAAGTTGCAAAATCCTTTCTAAATCCTTTGTAAAGACCTAAAACAATCAAATGGGAGAAAAAAATGAAAAGCATTTATGCATGGAAGCTGATGTATTCCCCTTACAGTCACTGAATTCTTCCTGCATCAATCTGAAAAACTGGACTATCTCTGTGTCTCTGTAAGACCTAAGAGGCCCTTATCATCATTTGAAAGCAGTGCAGCAATCGTATTTACTGGACATTGTCTAAGCAAATGGATCAAAACCCAAAAGTTTTCTGTAGGTATGTACATTTTTAGCCATTTTCATTTTGGCTCACCTTCTACGGTAAGAGAAGTCGGGAGTAACTTTGCTGGCTTCCATTTCAGCAGATTAACTCGGATCTAGAAAAGCGTTTCTGAGAACAGAATTTGTCCTCTTGGCAATGGGCAAAAAGACAGTAAGCTTCTTGTGGGGACTGTGCAGCAGAGTTCCCAGGGATGAAGAGACTCAGCTGGACCCAGCCATATGGAAGAAACTATGGACTCCCTTGAGCATTTCCAAACTACACCTTGCTGAAGGCTTAGTCATTCCTGCTGGGGGTTGCCATCTATGAAAGACAAATCACTTTCGCCTATTACTGGGGTCTCGAGAGCTGTTATATATCGCACGGAACTGAATTAACAAGCAAGGAAAACGAAAACCAGTTAAAATTTCGTTAAGAGCTTGATGCGCTTTCCATTTTCCCAAGAATTCAGAAGATGCACTGACAATAAACAACACTTCAGGAAAATTTATCAGGAATATTGTGTGTATTTAGAATACAATTTTTTTGAAATGGAAGGTGTCTTCTAAACGAGCATGGCAGCATTGATGTTGCTACTCAACATATTTTAACGTACGGAATAACTCCCATTTTATTTCACTTTGGAAAATAATTAATGAGAGATTCTGGCGTGTTTCACACTACAACTGCAGCCGACAAGAAAACGCCAAGAAAACCCTTTTTCTCTCTCCGCAGCGACTGCTGCACAGGGCTGACAAGGCGACCCCCGGCGAGTCGCCCGAATTATTTACAAGCCCAGGAGGCGACGCCTCAGCCCCCTCCCTCCCCAGGCCAAACCGTGAGGGGCACGGCGGCGGACCCCGGCCGCGCTCCCTCCTCCCCCTTCTCCCTCGCGGGGCGCTTGACACCCGCAGGCCACGGCTGCCTCCGAAACTCCGCGCGAAAACTCCACGCCCCGCGAGGCGGGGGGGGAGGCGGGGGGGGGGGGGGGGAGAGACACGGGAGATGGGAGCTCCGCCGTGCTCCCGCGGGTGGGTGGTGGTGTGGGGGGAACCTGCCTCTCCCCACGCCGCCGCCGCCGCCTCCGCGCTGCCCCAACTTTCATTCATTGTTGGCGTCGCTGCGCGGCCCCCCCCGCCCCCCCCCCCGTCCGCGCTGGCCGGGCCGGGGGCCGGGGCGGGCGGCGGCGCAGCCAGTGAGCGCGGCGCGGGGCGCTGCGGGCGGGGCCGGGGAGGCGCGGCCCCACCGCCCCTATATAGGGCGGTGCGTGGGGCGCTCCCGGCTCCGGGGGAGCGGGGCGAAGGGCTCCGCGCCGGGCGAGGCGAGGCGGGCGGCGGCCGCCGCCGCGTGGGGAGCTCTCGGCGGGCGGGCGGGCGGGGGGGGGGGGTCGCACGGCGGCAGCGGCTCGGCTGGCGGCCGCGCTCGGGGAGCACTTTCCGCGGGCGGCGGCGGGCACCTTGCAGCGGGGAGGAGAGCCGGCCTGCGTGCGGCGGGGCCATCCTATTGTTCAAGCGGAGAGACTCGGGGTGCGAGGGAAGGAGCCAGCGTGTCGCCTCCTTTCTCCCCCTTCTCTCCCCCCCTCCCCTCCTCACCACCCCCCCCCCCCCCTCCGCCGTTTCCCTCCGTGCCGGAGGAGCGCCGCCGCCAGGGAGCCGAGGGCCGGGCCGGGCTGTTCGGCACCAGCACCGGCAGCTCAGGTGCACCGGCGGGATCGGGGAAAGGGGTGCAAACCCTTCCCGAGGCGCTTGTGCCTCGGCGGGCTCCGGGAGACGAGGAAAGTTGCTGCCTTTCCTGCAGCAACCCCAGGAGCTGCTGAACTGGCCTCACCTGGAAGGACTGAGCAGTTCCTACCTTTCCCATCAGGTGCCTTTTCCGCAGCAAAGCCACGGTAACTGGGAGACCGCGGGGAGCAGAATAACGCACCCCCCCACCCCTCCCGCTCTCGCCGCACATCGCTTGTTATCTGGTCTGTCTCGCCGTGCTCCCGGGATCACAGGAGGATCTATAGCTGTGATCTGTCACCGAGGAGAAGGAGGTCGTGGATGGACTCCCTTCCAGCAGGGCAACGAATCACTTCTCGAGCTGCTTATTATTATCGTGCTCTAGGACCAGCCCTTTCCTGCTAAACTTGGCTTGGGAGCTTACAGCAGGAGGGGGCGCGGGGGGTGGAAAGCCAAGCCCAACATCATCTTGTGTGTTTGACTTTTTTTTTTTTTTTTTTTTTTTTTCCCTCCTCCTTCCGCGAGACAGTTTGATGAATGCCTCCGAGAGGGGTATGATTTGCTGAGGCGCCTCTGGCAGGGCGGTGTGTGGTGCGCGGTGTCAACCCCGCCGCCGCCCCCCGTGGGGCTGTGAGCGGCCCGCGGCGGGGGACGCGCGTGGGAGCGGCCGCTGAGCTGCGCGGGCCGCCGCGGAGCAAGCGCACCTCTCGGGCGGACGGGGCTCCGCGGCCTCTAGCCGGGGGCTCGGAGGGGGAGTCCCAGCGTTGGAAGGGGCGAGGAGGAAGATAAGGAGCTGGCCCAACTCCGCCGTACCCTGAGCCCGTGGGTTTGCTTCGCCTTCGCAAGGAGCGTGTGAAGACGAGACCCAAGTGCCGCCTCCCCCCGGCACCCGACGGGCTAGCGAGGGAGGGCCCGGGCCCGGCCCCCCTCCCAGCGAAGTTGCCTTCAGCAGCGGATCGGTGCCACCCACCTCACCGCCGGGGTTGTTTTCTTGGCTCGGCTTTGGATAGAAAGGACTTGGCTTTCTCCGCACCCTGAAAGTTGCCCGAGCGCTCCCCGCGGCGAGGAGGAGGGCGGCGCGCCCCGCGCCTCCCCGGGGCCGAGGCCGGCGGGCCCCGGCCGGGCGGCAGCGGGCGGTGATGATGTGCGGCTGGGGGAAGCTCACCCTGTCCCTGGGGCTGCTGCTGGCGATGGCGGGCGAGGTGGCGCCGCAGCCGTGCCCGGCGCAGTGCTCCTGCTCCGGGAGCACCGTGGACTGTCACGGGCTGGCGCTGCGCGGCGTCCCGAGGAACATCCCCCGCAACACCGAGAGGCTGTAAGTAACCCGGCTGGGGCGGCTCCCGGCTCCCTTCAGGGCTCCCGCCGGCTGGCGGGGCAAAGGTGGACACCGGAGCCGGCCCGGTTTGGGATCCCGGCGCCTTTTTTTTTTTGGGGGGGGGGGGGGGGATGTGTGCGGTGTTTCCGTTCCCTTCCCTGGTTGCTGGCGGTGCCCGTTTCACGGCGATGCGCGGGGACACGGGAGAGGTGGACGCCGCTCCCCGGCCGCTGCCTTTCATCCCGGGAAGCCGCGGCGAGGAGCGCGGTTCCCGCCGCCGCGGGGAGCGGGGGGGGCGGCGGGGCGGGCACCCTGGCGGCCCGGGGGGCGCCCGGAGGCGGCGGCGGAGCGGCCTCTCCCCCCGCCGGCGCCCATTTCCCGGCAAACTTCGCTACGGCAGCTGGCTTTCCCCCGAGGCGCCGGGCAAGAGCCGGGCCGCGGCGCTCCGCGGGCGCGGGCAGGCCCCGGGGCGGGCGGTGGAGCTCCGCGGGCGCGCAGCGCTCGCTCCCGTCCCGCCGGCGGCGGGAGCCGCGGTGGTTCCGCGCGGGGCCGCGCTGCCGACCTGCCCCGGAGCCCGCCGGGCTCTGCCCCGGGGTGGGCGCGCATCTGCCTCGGGGGGAGGGCACGCTGGGGTCTTCCAGCCTCTGTCCCGCTCGCACGCCCCGAAGTTGTACCCCAATTGTGATCCCTCCCCCCCCACCCGCTTGGTGAGACCGTTCGCGTACCGTCCGGCGAGGGTATTTTCCAGTCTGGCGAGAGAACAAGCATGCGGTCAGTTATTTATCATATCAGGCAGCCTTTCAGAAGGGTGTAAGGAGTGGAAGAGGTGAGCACGTTATTTCTTACTCTCCGATAAGCCCTTTAAACGTTGGCAGATGAGCACACATCTCGAGTGATGAATTTCGCTCAAGAAGAATATCAGGGACACGTTTCTGCTGAGACTTGTGCAGTTTCCTTACAGCGGTGTTTTGGCCACATGTTGTATAAACATACACACAAAAAGAGATTTTTTTTTTTTTCATTTTTTTTTTCCCCTAGCTAGGTTGGGAATGAGCTGTAATTGTTAGGGTAGTTTCCATGTAATACCACTTCCTAATGGCTTACCTCAGGAATTGCAAAGTCTGGTTTTATTTGTAGTGGTTGGAATTGATAGAAGTTTATATCTTGACCCCAAAATTTTATGAAAGAGAAGCATATAACTCCAGAAGAGAACGTAGTGCTGAAGTATGAACAGAAATGCTAGGGCCTAAGTACAGTTTTCCGTTGCTTCTGAACACACTTTGCATTCTGCAGGCAGTATAGCTTCCTGTGTAGCAAGTGAAGAGTTTAGTTTTCCTAAAATCTTGTTTCCTATCACTTACCTTCCAACAGTCTTATGCTTGTTTGAAAGCTAATGGTGGCTACAGGAAAATAAGCCCCATTCTGCCTTTGTAGCAATACTATAAAATCTGAAAGTTGCTTAAAAATGGTGAAAATTGACTTGATTTCAGCCACTTAGTTTTTGCAGCAGTCAAACAAATACTGTAGAATATATATATATGTAGTAGCTTTAGTGGTTTTCTAAATGCAGTTATAATCATGTTCAGACAGGTTTTGACTCTTCTATATTCTTAAAGATATTACAAAGTTTGAAACTATTACTTTCAAGATAAACCTCCGTTCAGTCACTTGGAAATCAGGCATTTAAAAATCACTTCTGAATGTTTTAATTTTGCTGCTTGTAAATTATTCTTCTTAGGGATCTTAATGGAAATAACATCACAAGAATCACCAAGACTGACTTTGCTGGTCTAAGGCACCTTCGAGTTCTGTAAGTTTTTTCTATCACTGATACCTTTTAGAACTGATGCTACGTTTTGTTATAAAAACAATTGAACTAGTTATCTTTCAGTTTATAAACTAGTTGGGTTATCGCTTTTTAACTATCGTGCTACTGCATCTCAATTTACAGCCCCTCCCCCATGTGTTACACACTGATATGAATAAGTTAGCAATTGACTTTAAAAAAATTTAAACAAATTATATTTATCTCTCTTTAAGGTTATCAGAACTTGAGGGTTTAATTTTGTATGTAGCTTACAAGTAAGAGTTTCTAAAATTGGTTGAATAACTGTTGGAGTGACTTCAGTTTAAGGTTAGGAAATTTATAGTTCACACTGAAAATGGGTACTCCCAACCTGAAGTGTAAGGGAATTTATTAAGAAAGAAAAAGTTATTCCTTTACTGAATTTAAAAACAAGTCCCAGGTGATGATTATGCTTTTCTACATTTTCTGGACAAAAAGGAAACAATTTAACAGTGATTTTGAGGAAGGAATGATTTGGTTTCAGGTTGTCTTTGTAAACACTTTTGTTTCAAGAATTATGAAGCTTTTAATTATGTGGGGTTCTTTTTTTTTTTTTTATCTAACTAATACAAAGTTTAAAGTACTGCAGAATTTATTTAGCTTACTTGTTAAGTCTATTTAATTTGAGCAAGTAGTCATATAAAATCCTTTCGTTTCTTTCTGAAGCAGAATATCATGTTGTAGTAATTTTTTTTTTTTTTACAAAACAAAAATACTAGTACGGTTACAATCTCTGCAGTCTTTCACTGATGGTGTTTCCCAATACCACAGCTTAGTATTTTTGTTTTGTTATTCTCATGTGAGACTAATACCACCTTCATACTGTTCAACTGGAGTCTTATAACTTGCCGAAGACCAATAATATACATGCGTGTCTGTACACAGTATTTATGCATGTGTGTAACTTTTTGACTTGGGACTCTTAAAGTAAATGAGCAAATGTAACATCTATTTCAATTTCTTTTACCAAGGATTATTTTTCCTCTTTTGGGTATATGAGCCTGTGTAAGGTGGTGATGACAAGGGTCTGGAAGATTGAAGCGGATGTCACTCTAGAATAACTTGTACTGTTTTAATTAATATGTTGTTGCCTTTAAATGACTATTGTTAATGCAACAAGTTATCTCAGACATATAAAAACTTATATATAAAAATTTCTATATTTCAGTCAGCTCATGGAGAACAAGATTAGTACTATTGAGAGGGGAGCATTCCAGGATTTAAAAGAACTGGAGAGGCTGTAAGTATTTTTAATTCTAAATATGAGATTTTTTTTATCAAATCAGTTCTGTGTTAAGGTATTCAGGGCTCTGATTTTTTTTTTTAATTTTTTGTTTGTTTGTTTTTTTAAAACTTTGGACATCTATCCTTACTGAGACACAAGAGAAGTAAGAAATTATCAAGCAGTATGTATGGGACTCAGGTGGGGGGGAGCTATCAGAAACAGTCCAGATTTGAAGTGTAAACTGTAATTCTTGTATGAAATAACATGAGTGATGCTGAGTAATTTCCCTTGAATACACAAGGACATATTCAAACATGAATGCACCTAAAAAATCCTGTTCTGTGAGGCAGTGTTAGGTGTTAGTCTTGGAGATGTGGGATGTTTTATACAATGTATTATTGGAAGTAACTGCTAGTTGTAAGTTGTTGTTACAGAGTACGAAAGCAGTAATTGAATTCTACTCCAGTTTTTATATGATTAAAGCTTTTACAAAGGCTTAGAAAAAGTATGAAACATTAGCTTTCAAAATTAATTGGATTTGGACTTTAAAAAAAAAAAATCAAGCACTGTGGGGAGAGAGGATAGAGTCTGAATGAGAGGATCTTGTCTGGTGAAGTGCAAACACCTGCTTGGTTGCAGTAGGACATAGAAAATGAGTAATTCCCAAACCGTCTTAGCTTTTTATAATAGTTGCTTCGTTTTCAGTATGTGCATTCTTATTTTGCTGCATTTCCTCAAATGAAAGCATTTGTTAAAATGTACTCTACAACTTGAGACTCATTAAAGGCAAAATGCTGATTGTTCTATGTAGTTTCAGTTTGGAGCTAGGAAAGTCCAAGAATGCCACTGTATTAATGTATGTTCATATAGAACTTTAGCATCTTCGTTATTAGGCATCTTAGTTGTTGCATTTTCATTATAATACCTTTTCTTTAAGCATGCCTCTGAGGTCTTGTTTACTTTTTCGTTTGCTGCTGCTTTAACTTCAAAAACATATTTCTACTTTATTCTGTTGAAAAGCAGCATTGGCCTAAACATTGTTTGCCTTATTATAGTTATGTTCTGTATCCACAGCTGCTGTGTATTTAAAACAAAACATCATGAACCATTATGATTTGGTCATAGACAAAGCTGTTCAAGAGACTTAGTAACCACCAGTGTAATTATGATATTTCTATAATAGTTCAAATATCATGTACTTGAGATAATTACCACATTTTTTCAAATAAGCTAAAGTAACTTTTTGACCTAAGAATTGAAAGTGTTATTATATAGTGCAACCTTTTCTGAATAAATTTTAATGAGATTGACTGTTCTTAGAAATGCGTAGTCAGATTTTTTTCAAAGTAGTATTAAAACACTTAATGCAATGCTTTTTTACAATGTGTTTTAAACTTTGTACAAAGTATAGGGATTTAGTACAGCTTCTCCTGCTGAGGGATATATTGGAATAATACATACACATTCCTAAATTTGGTTTATAGGGTCTAGCTAAAAAATTAAACAGCAGTGTGGTTCATATTTCAAAAGTAAGTACACATACATGAAACATTAATAAACATTAAAAAAGATCCATGCTTTCACTGTGAATGTGGTTTGACACTGAGATACCAAATACTTGCTAAGTTTTAAAACAGTATATCATCAACTTTATTTTTTTTATTATCTCAAAGCAAGATCCTGCTATGTGATTTATTAACAATATTTCAAAAATTAACTTGTGTCATAATTTTGAGGCTTTTAATGGTAAGATTTCTGAAGTATATAATTGCAATACTAGGAAAGAAGAACATTAGTTAGAGGTTACTTGTCTGTTGTGTTTGCATTCTGTCACTCCATTTTCTTTTTTTTTTTTTACTTTTTTCTTGATAAATCTGTAAAATCCTTTGGTAAACAATATATATTTTCCAGTTATGTAAGATACTGGTTCTGAGGAGGAATTCTGATAATTGTGGCTCCTTTTATGGGTTAATGTTGTTCACCCTTCAGCAGGTAAACTATGACATTTGAAAGTTTAGTCATTTAGACCTACAAAGATAGATTCTCTTTTGTCTTTAGAAATTTTGCATCTGTTCCAGTACTTGTCAAAATTTCTTTAATTTGCTGGAATTCAGTCAGTGTTAGGTGTGTGGGTGACTTGTAGTTTGAATATATATTCAGGACGTCTTTAAGATGCCCCAGATGTTGTCTAAGAGCAAATATTTCATATTTGTGAGGAAGAGCTGAAAAAATTCCCCTTGTTTACAACTGCCAAGTCCATCTGATGAAGGCACATTGTTATCTGACAGCCAATTCATCTCCTTGGGATTCTGAAATTCAAAACTATTTCTCAGGAAACTTGTGGATACTTCCTTCAAGTATTTTCTTTTATATGTTAGATAGCAAGCACTTTAAAGCTTTTTTTTTTTCTTCAGTGTGTAAGTGTAGGATGTCACATTTCCACTGTAAGTGTAACGTGCTGAGCTACTGTCAAAGAATACTTGATGTAGTCCTTTTAGCATGCTAATGGAAGGTATAAGTGAACGTTACTGCAATTTAGAAGAACTCAGTTTGATTTATAAGATTGTTTACATATAATATTCCTTATGTTGGTATATGTTGTGCTAGTGTATACAGGCTTTATTTTAAAATGTTTTTCCTGTAGTTCAGTACTCTCTTTAATGTGAAGAACAGACTTCCACAGTAGTTTCCCTTTGGGGAAAAAAATCAATCTCTCTAGGTTAAGCAGTGCTTTTGGGTTTTTTGGTTTTTAACTGGAATTTCAGTTACAAAATAATTTTTTTTAGACCAGTTACTCTGATTTCCAAGGGACTGTTTGATTCATCACTGAGCTACTCATCATGAATGCTCATTTGTAGATCTGATCAAGCAAAACATTGAATATCCTCGGGTCCCTCTAAGGGAAGTGAGGACCTGAAGCACTTTGCAAAATTAATCTGTCTTCTCTTCAGAAGAGAACTACTTAATATATGATTTGATTAAATCTAGGTATACCTCTCTCAGGTGGATAGAAATGTTTGTCTTATGGTTTAATAAAGCAACAACAAATCTCTAGTACATTAGATATATGTAGTGCTATGTACACAAAGCTATTTAGACCTAATATACTCCATAACAGGAATTTGTCACACCAGTGTAATTATAGAAGTGCAGTGGAAACTAAAGCTGCAATAAATACTGTTGTATCAAGTGATTGTTACTACAGCAGTCCTGCTGTAACTTAAAAGTTCAAATGTTCAGGTAGCAGTAAATGATCATATAGTAGTGCCTACTACATAAGGACTGGGAGGGAAAACAGGATGGAAACTAGATTCAGATAAGTTTTAGGTTTGTGGAAGCTTTAGTTGGAGAGACCCTGGTGAAACTGAAGGTGATTTTGCTATAGACTGTTTAGTTGGATACTTCTCTGAAAAGTCTACAGTCAAATAAATGGGTATACAGTGCAGTGTTCACTTAGCTATAATCTCCAGTAGTCCTATCTGAAGACTCAGCTTGTAAGGGTGTATTAGCTGTGGTCCAAACCAATTTAGTATAACACTGCCCCAGCTAGTAAGTCTGCCATGAGCATGGGTTTCTCCACAGCCTGCATCTTGAATGGCTGAATCACATGGTCTGTTGTGTTGTGTAGATGCTCTGTCTGCTGAAACAACCCTCTTTGAACTTCAGTGTGTACAACCTGTTTTTCAATCAGTGGGGACAGCTTGTACCTTTGTGTACATCCTGAAGCAGTGTCGGACTCTTGGATTAATTATGATCTTGTCTATCCTGTATTTAAATCTGAAAAACTTTCTATATTAACTAGTGACCTATATGATGAGCCCATATTTCTGAGTAGGGTCTCTAAAGAGTATATGGCCATTCAGTACATGGCAGGACCCATAAGGAAAGGATTGGGATGTGACCTGTTATGTTGCCTGAAACTCTTTTACCTAGATTGCAGTCATGTATCGGTTGTGGGTTTCAGTGTGCTTCATGGCAGGAAGGCACAAAGGGTCAAGATATGGAGGTTTTCCATAACATTTAAAAATTTCCAGAGACCACTGCTTATTGAAACCTTTTGAAATGTTTCCTTATGAGAATGTGAAATTAAACAGTTGTTTCTTCTTTCCTTATAAATCTGTCTTCTTGGGTGTGATGTTTATCATAGTTTGAAATAGTCTCTTGAGTAAGCAAGATGAAGATAAACTGAAAATCTCCACTTTCTGAAAACTAATACTATTATTACACACAGCTTAAATTCCTTTTTAAAAGTTTTGTCAATGGTTATCCCAAGATCACCTTCTTAAGTGGTATTGCAGCTACTGCTCAAAGTATCCTAGTGCTTTTACAAGCTATTGTCATCTGGAGGGAAGTATAAAATTTGGTTGAAGACAGCTGCTATAGACTGTTGAACCAGTTCTATTATAAGCTACTGAAGTCTAAAATTTCCTTACAGTTCTACATACTCTAGAAACACAGTGTAATCAGACTTTGAGGGCTAAATATATTCCTCACTTGTTTACAAAGCAGAGCAGCTACCTTTTCATTTAGGAAAAAATATTTTTTTGGCTGATAGGAACATTGTTTTTAATCATAATTTTTCCTAATAATTTTTCTGTCTAGAAGTTGAGGTGCCAGCTATGATCATTCTAAGCCTATGCTTAACATCCAAAAGATGTCAGAATAGGAAGAGTTTACAGCAGTCATTTGAAAACTACCCACATTTTTCTTCCTGTATTTGTGAATAATCCATTGAGGCAGCAGTATGCCCCTAAAATGCTAATTTGGAGTCTGATTCTGCAGACATTTACCACGTGAATAACTTGGTTTGCATGAGTAGTCCCACTGATTACTTTTGTGAGAAAGGTTACTTGTGTGGCCTAAAATGTTTCTAGGCCAAGCCCTTCCACTTTTAATACTTGAATTAATAGAATTTCTTTCTAGAATGTCCATTTATCATCTTAATAGCTCTAAAGAGCTATCTGTGTAGACTTAAAAACTAACAAACAAAAAAAAAAAAACTAACAAAAAAAGCG